GAAGGTTTCTAAATATTAAATGACTATAGAGAGTTTTATAAATAAATATATAGGATCTGTATTATTTCATCAATAATAACTTCATAAACATTACTTTTTATTAACAATTATTTACTAACAAGTTTATTTTACTAATAGGTTATTTTACTAAAGTTCATTTTATTAACAAGTTTTTTTTTATAATCATTAACTAAAGTTCCAATCTGAATAAATCTGTTATCTATTTATTCATATCCAAATTTATCTGAATATTCATTTACTATTAATATCCAGATAATCCAACAGATATCTGGATAATTATCTGGATATCAATAGCAATCAGATATCTAAATATATTCGGATATTGGATATCTGATAAATAAATGAATAAATGAATAATAGATTAGAACTCTAGTATTAACTTTAACTCTAATCTGACCTTAATGACAATAGTTAAAACTAATTTGTCTATAAAATAAGCTTTAGTAAAATAAACTGTTAATAAAATAAACTTGGTAAATAATTGTTAGTAAAATGTAATGTCTATAAAGTAATTATCTGTAAGTTGATTAGAACTGAATATATGGGTTATATAATAATATATGTTTTATTTAAAAACTTTTTTATGCAGATTTTAAAATATAAAAATCAATAGAAACAAAAAAAAATAAAAATAAACAAAACAATAAATACTATATAAGAAACTTAAATAAAAAAGTTTACTTTAGATAAAAAACTATCTATACAATATGCAAAATAAAAATACAATTGCTTTAAAAATACAAGCCAAAAGTAAAAAAAAATTTTAATACTATCAACAAAAAAAAACAATTTAAAGCTAACAAGGACAATAATAATATTTAGTTACAAAGTTAAAATACTAGACATAATAAATAATAATTACAAATATTTTAACAGACAGCAACAATATTATACTAACCTAGATGCTATTTATAAAAATGCTTATAACAAAAAAATATACTGTTTTTTTGCAAATTTTAACTAGTAACAAAAGTAAGCAATAGGGATGTAGTAATTTAGTAAAGTGGTTAGGTTGTCAACTCCCAAGTGGCAGATCTAAAGTTCAAATTCCATAGATGATGAATTTTGAAAATTATATCTGTATTATGATAACTGACTCTGTTGATCAGTTGGATTAGACAAATCTGTAACCTTTAGTTGCACTATCTCAAATAGGAGCTTAGAGCATTTATGTAAAATATAACATTATATGTATATAGAAAAATACTTAACCAGTATTGCATAAGACTTTAGTGCAAACTTATGATAAGACCACTAGATGCAAAAAACAAAGAAACTGTAAAGTTAGAAGCCTACTTGGAAATTCTGAGTAAGAAGATAGCACAAACTTTTGATAGTACTATCAAACTGATAGAAGCCTATGAAACACCTTTAGTAAGAATAGATAAATAAACCAGATAATAAGATATATAAAAAAGCATATAACCAACCAGGCTGCTAGAATTACCAAAAAAAAAGAATACTAAGATATATTATACCAAGCTATCTGGATTGAAAGTCTGAAGAGTTTTGTCAATTCTTAGCTATAGTTAGTAGAAAATAATGAAAAAGATATTAGAAAAATAGATATTAGAGTTTGAATGAACCTTACAAGGGTATAGCAGTTTAATAGTTAACCTTAACTGCAAATGATAGTTTAGGCCAAAGTAATATTAGATCAGCTGTAAGTATAAGATACAGTAGGTTTAGTACAAAGTTAAATATGACTTAGTGATTATAACATATATTTACTGATTTACCAGTGTCATTAGTAGAGTATAGTAGATACAGAATCAGAGTGTTTAAATAAAGAATCTACAGATAGGTCTTAGATAGGGTGCAGAATGAGCTAGGCTAAGCCTAAAAATTTGCAAGCCAGGCTGGGCTTTGGTTTAGTTCAGACTTATAATTTTTGAACCTATTACTGTTTAGGTCAGGCACAAATTAGGCTTGTTAAATATCGGGCTGGGCTTAGCTTTATAAGAAAGCCCAATCAGGTCTGATAATACCTAGTAAACTTATAGTCAAAATTATAGCTTAATCAAATCTGAAATTTAGAGGCTATCTTGCTCTATTTTATTATTAAATGCTTTTTTCTTTTTACTTTAAACACTATTACAATAATTTTTAAAAAAAAAATGAAAAAAAATGCAGTAACACTCATTGCTTAGTATCATTCAAAGGTTTTTTGGTCATGTATTCGATTATGAAAATCAATCAAACTATAAGAAATTAATTAGCGAAATTGTAATCGATCAAAGAGTAATCAATATGCATAAGAAATATGTAATTAAAATTGAAGTTAAATAAAGTATAAGAAATTAAATAATGCAATTGATATAATTGATTTGAGTTAAAATATTATATATAAAGGATATAAAAATAAAAAGAAAAAAATTACTTTTTGCTTTCATTCTAAATACAGTAAAATCATTAATGTGAATACATACCTTTATATCGAGGTGTTGGTTGTACATAATTCTTAATTTGTTGCCAGTTATATACATAGTTATAGAAGGCCATGATGTAGAAACATTCAAATGCATGAAAAGCATATATCATAGGGCTTTTTGATGATAACTAGTAATTATTATAATAAAATAACTTTCCTTTATAGCATTATAAAAACATGCATATATCACAAAATTTTTTGACAGTTAATTAGCAATTACTATAATACTTTCCTTTATAGTGCAATAAGAACATTCAAATACATGAGATGCAAATTCTAAATAAGGTAAAAGCTGTCTAGAAAAGTTAATTCAGCTTTCATTTTATTAGTACATGTGTGCAAAGAATTGAATAATTATTTGAAGCTAAAAAAAACATTAGGTAGGTAAAAAAAAATATATAAATATAACTTACTGCTAGAGTTGTGTAAATAAAAAAATAAATTTAAATTTTTTATTTTATTTTATTTTATTTATTTATTTTTATTTTAATAAGCAGATAAATTGTAGTGTTAAAAAATTAAAAAGGTTTGCACAATATATATTCAATGCTAGTGTATGTAATTGAGTTCATTAACTAAATATCATTTATTACAGTGTGATCTGAACATGAAGGATCCTATTCCAAAAAAACTAATGTCAAAATATTACAATATTGTGGAAAAAATTTAAAGCTTGTAAATAAAAATCTTTATTAATTAAGCAAAATTATTCATTTGCTATATGTATAAACATTTTTCACTATTTTTACTACCTTATTAGATCATAAGTATTTAGAATTAACTCATTATTTAATACTATATATTAACTCAACATTTTTGTAATTGTTGTTCTTTATACCTCTATACAAGATTTAATAATACCTTTAATTAAACACTAATAATGTAATTAATTATATTTATTTTTAGGGTGTGGGTTCTATAGCTTAGCAGTTAAGCTCCCATACCCTCCACAGTCAAGGTCAATAGTTCAAGTCCAGCTAGAGGCAAAGATTTTAGCTTCTGTAACCTAATAAGGAGCCTGTAATTGAATGTGAAGCTCTGCATTTAAGTCCAAGTGCAGTATAATAATGGAAATAGGAATTCCTAAAAGGAGACCCAATTATGGAATGCAGGCACTATGTGTAACAAGCAGTTGTTACAAAAGGTTACAGTTATGAAAAGATTGCACATATAAGTCCTTTAGGCTAAGGCAGCACTAACATCCTTATACCTCCTAATATAGGCAATACCAACATCTCTGTACCTAACTTGTAGGGTACTTACTTGGAAGGATAATCAACAGATTGTGCAAATAAGTTTTAATTAGGATTCAAAAAGAGGATTTGATTGGAAGAGTACTCTGAAAGTAACCATAACTGAAATGGTGAAAGAAGCAGTGAACATGAGGATGGACTGTAATAAAGAATTGGTCTAACCAAAAATTGGAAGCACCTCTGGCACAGCCAAATAATCTAATTATAGAAGAGAAAAATCTTGAAGGTTGGTGTATAACTTCTTTGTATAATATAAAAGTACCAAATTAGGTTTCTGGTCATATCTATATGAAAGTCTATGACAAACAAGACTGGGATCAACCACCAAAGTAAGATAAGATCTGCAAGGTAGTATGGCATCAGTGGGGTCAGTATAACTCTCTGGGGCATAATCAGAATTGTCTTGCAGGTATTATTGAATAAGCTGAGAGCTTGCAATATATAGTAATATGGTATCATTAGGGTCAGATGAACTTCCTAGGTATAACCAGAATTGTCCTGTTTGTAAGCACAACAAGTCTTAGTCTCTACTATAGAAGGAAGCATCATGTTAAAGGTTAAATGCAGCATTGAGTTACTGTATAATGTTAAGACCTAGGGCATCTGCAGAAATGGCAGCAGCAGATCTGGCTTAAGATACAGATTGGTTAAAAAACCAATGGCAGCAGCAGATCTGGCTTGAAATACAGATTATTTGCAGATCCTGGACCATTGTCAGAACACCTTAGAAGAACCAATAACAGGCATACCAAAGATAGGAAGATCATAAAAATCAAATATACCCAAATAGGACCAATTTGGGAGTAGTACAGTAACAAAAAGATGAGAAATGTGAAGAACAAGATAATATTATATATAGTTAGATTAAGAAACAGAAAAAATAAGACAGGTAAAACATGTGAGTGAAATATATGGATACAATTTACAGAAGACAGTACCTTTGGCATTTTGGATACCATATTAAGTTCAGTAGGTATTCTTGTCTGTGTAGTGGTTTAATTGTGTGCCTTGACCACAAGTGGTTGTTAAGATAACTGCATGCAAGCATGTAGTAGACATGCATTTAGGTGCTATATGGATAACCAGGTGAAGTCAGTGGTGTAAAATTAGATAGTATATAGTACTAGTAATAATTGATACTAAAATGTAATTGTAAATTTGTACTATATCAAAATTAAAGCTAATAAACTAACTGGCATTGTCGCCAAAGTTAAATATATATATATATATATATATTTATTTATTTTTAAAATAGATTGATTTGAATATAATATTAATAAAAAATAGATAACAATATGCTAATGTATATCCTAAATTAGAATTACTAGATTAGCATTAATCTTTACTTATTATAAATAGAAATAAGAAGCATCTATTTTGCAATCAGTAAAGAGGAAAGTCCTGAAATAACAACTGTTAATGAAAAATCTGAGGCAACTGCTACTAATGAAAGTTTCGAAATAACTTTTACTAACAAGAAATATAAAATATGTCTTGGGTGTTTCAAGAAGAACACTTTAAATCTAACACCCTAAAGGATAAAAATTTATTTTATTTACTGCTAAAATTTAAAAATTTGCTATGCTACTTAAACTGCCATTCAAACTGTCATTTAACACTATCACATTGTTTCACAGACATGCATATCTGTGAAGTCATATAATAGCATTGTAAATTTTATTAGTGATTATGTTATAAATTTTTTATTATTAATTAGTATTTATAGAACATAATTTTTTAGTAGGTTATATTCAATGTCAATATTGCAAGAATGATTTAAAGTATAAAGGTCAATCAGGAACCAGCATCTTAATTTGGCACATGAGAAACACAAAATGTAAAAAATATCTTAAAGTTGAAAAATCACAACAAAAGTTACAATTGGGTACATCAGGTCTTACTACATATAAATTTTCTCAAGAAAGAAGTCATCAAGATTTGTCAAATATAATTATAATGCATAGATACTCATTTCATATAGTTGAACTTGAAGGATTCCTAATCTTTGTTAAAAATTTGCAGCCAGAATTTAAAATGATGTATGAGAAGACAACATGTAAAGATTGCATTGATGTTTTTAGAGATTTTAAAGTAAATGTGTATATGATGTTGCAGGAGGCTCCTAGATATTTGAGTTTTACAACTGATTTATAGACATTGATTCAAACTGTTGGATATATGGTAGTTATGTGTCACTTTATTGACTGAGACTAGAAACTTCAAAAATTAGTCTTAGCATTTAAGAAGGTTTCTGCACCACATACAGGTATTACTATTAGTGAAACACTTCTTAATTGTTTTAATAATTGGTAAATACTTTAATCATTAGGCTATATGAACTTAATAATTTTGTTTTCATAATAAAATTTTTTAAAATAATCAACTCAGCTTTTAATTTTTTCAAAAATTATATATAAAATATATATAATTTTAGATTTTTTAAAATTTGAAATTTGAAACAGCTGAGTTATAAGAATAATTTATTAAGTTTGTATAGCCTTAAATAAATAAATTTTATAATTGTAAAAATGCCAACTATTACTAAAAAAGAATTAAATAAACTAATAGAGGTATTATATCAAAAACATTAGCAATTATTACTAATAATATAATTAGTAACAATGCTGTAATTGCTAATATAAAATGTAAATTTAAGAAACAAGATATGCTTATCATTAATGGATATTTATTGCACCAATGCTGTTATGCTTATATAATAAACCTTATTGTTAACAGTAGTCTTAAAAAAGTAAAAAGTATCTTATACAAAATCTGAGAATATGTAAAGTGGATTGATAGTTTACAATGCTAACAACAGAACTTTGAAGATGCTATAATCGGGTGTAGTAATGAACTTGCATCAAATCAGTGACTGACTCTTAATGTACCTACCTGTTGGAACTCTGTATATCTAATGCTAATATCTATTATTTCTTATAAAGATGTGTTTGAGTATCTTGCATTATGAGATACAGACTTTGAGCAAATTATGTCTTTTAATGAAAACTGAAAAAAAGCTAAAAGCATTTGTAATTTCCTAAGGTTATTTTATAAAGGCAATATTAATTTTAATATTATAATAGTTGTTTATACTTTATATACTACTAGCACTAAATCATTATTTATTTTATAGTTACAAATCTTATTTCAGAAAGCATATATTCTACAGCTAATATTTTTCTTTCTCATATAATAAAAATTAAACTGAATCTTGAACGAAATGCTTTTAATATAAATTCATTTATTTGTCAAATAATAACACTAATGCAATCCAAATTTGATAAATATTGATCAGATATAGGTGATATGCATTGCATCACTTTGATTATAGATCCTCACTATAAAATATTATTACTGACTCATATATATAAGCAAAAAATGAACTTGTCAAATACTGAAACAGAAAAAATACTAGATTCTATTAAAACAAGATATGTTAGACTATACAAAATAAATTTCTTGATTTATTTAAAAATTTTTAAATAATAGATGGGTTATTTTTTTTAAAAATCTATATATAGAAAAAAATAAATCTAACTTACTTCACTGATAATTATTTCAACTGATAGCTTATTTAGCTAATATCACACTAAGTGAAAATTTGCTAAAATATACTAATCAAATACTAATCTAACCTATGTGATATCGACTAAATAAACTTTTGGTAAAATAATTATTGGTGAAGTAAGTAGCTCCAGAAAAAAACAAGCAGTCAGGTCTAATTTAAAATTTTTAAAACCAAGAAATTAATTTTTTATCACCTTATTTTGGAACATAATATTTTAAATATACATATATGATCTTAACTTTAATTTAACTATTTATAGAATTACAGAAATCTATAAATTAGTATATACACCAAATGGAGTTGTTTCTAATAATTTTCATAGTTTTTTTAGTACTATTTCTAAGAAAGACGAACTGATAAAAGATTTTGATCTCTTTCTTGCAGCAAATTTTGCTAATACTATAAATGAAAAAGATAAATTTAAGTGATATCTTACTAACCCACTTCTTTCTTGTTCTTGCTCAGAATCATTTAATATCCTAACTTGGTGAAAAAAAAATGAATCAAGATATTTTACTGTATCTCTAATAGCAAGAGATATTCTTGCAATTCCAATTACTTCAGTAGCTTCTGAATCAGTAAATAAAGTTTGTATCAAAAATGGAGTTTTACAGAAGTGAAATGATGTTTATTGATGTTTGTCTATGTTTTCATGATTTTGATTAGTTATTGCTATCAGTATAATCAGTAAATCTTTTCTTTTTCTTTTTTATGAGCTTTTTCAGGTCTGCTTTGTGAACTGTTTGTTTTCTATTTATGGGTAATAAGCTCTATATATATATGAATACTAACATCTTATGATTGTAATTAGTAATAGGGTTTGGTTAAAGTTGCTTTTTAATTATAGTATATTTTATGTATGTGTTGTTAGCATTTTTGATCTAATATGAATCACACATATTATTAAAAGTCTGCTGTGGATTAGGAGGCTTCTGAATAGCCTATAAAGTAAGTGAAGAGTTAGTAAACACTAAATTTATATATTTCTATAAATGATAATAGTTGGTAAAGGTTGTTGAATAAGTGATTTGGATTGTTTTAAAATTGTATACTCTTTGATTGCTTTATATATAGTTTGCCCAAAAAATGTGTTTGTTAAAAAATTCATAAGTGCTTTATTTGTAAGATGTATAAGTAATAATATAAAATATATTTTATTTGCTGATTGTTATATTACTTATAACACATATCAAACACTGATCTTAACTGTAACCTTTTTCAATTTTTTAAATATTCATCTACATCTGTTAGTTATCTGTTCCTGATTTTCACATAACAGTGTCATGCAGTTATCTTATTATATATTTCTTATAAATATAGTTCATATAAACTAATTTATATCTTTGTTAATTAGGTATTTAGCATAGCAGAAAGAATTGTTGATGATTATAGATTAAATCTAACTTCAGAAACTATTGAAGCATTAATATGCAGTCAAGAATGATTGAAAATTGCAAAAGAATGAGACTAGACAAGAAATAGCAAATCATCTAACTAAAGCTATAAATTGTTAAAGGAGTTTTTTTTTTTATATTAAAATTTTTATATCAATTATTTTAAAATTTTGAATATGGAAAATTCAAATTATTTAGGTAAATAATTTTGAATTAATTATATTACTTTACACTTAAGGGTAACAAATAGTTATATTAGTTATAAATTTTATAAAAAAAAATTTTGATTAGTTTGATATCAAATAAAACCATCAAGATGCAATATAAAGAACTTTATTGATCTAACTACATTGCTAAAAATAGCACTATAATGCTGTTGCATTAATAATGAGAAGAGATTTACTATATAATATAAAGTATGAAGAATTAATTACTTATGACTTAACACAAATTTTTTTTTTTTTGACTACAAAATGAACAATATTTCAAGGTAATTTGCAAATTTACAGTATTTTTGTATAGCCACCTCTCTTTGGAGTTCTAATTTAAGCATCTGAAGTTGACTGTAATCAAATCATATTGCATATATCAAGTATTAATTTTAGGTCAGTGCAACTTCAGGTGTTTGAAAATGCCAAACAGGTGCATGGCATACTTACTGCAAAACTGATCTGTTTGTTGCTTTGTATATACTTAAATGAATTAATCCAAATTATTTATATTTAATAAATATCTTATAAAGTGGAATTCAGTAATAAATATTATAATTTATAAACTCATGTATGTACCTTATTATTTGCAAATATGTTATCTAGCATTATTATACTTAAAACATTAAAGAAAACAACTTTGATTTTTTTAATTTTATTGCTTTTATAATTCATTTAAAAGTTTATTGAATTAATCATTGTTTAAACTTTTAGAAATCTTATAAAATGTAAATCAAATCATAGTAAACTCACAATATAATAAATACTACAAAATACCAAAACAACTAAATATTTGATAGTATTTTAGTATGCTAATAATAGGAGTATTAATAAATATTTAAGAAAGAATATTAGCAAATTTATATGAATACAAAATTACAAATTCTTATATTTCATGAGTTAAATAAAATTCACAATATTGTAGAACAAATTCATGCCAATTTCATAATAGTAATATTTTACAAGACCAATACACTAATGAAATACAGAATCTAGAAATTAATTGTAAAGTAAGTATAAATATTAAGGGTAAGTGGTAGTTAACAATATATAACAATTTTAAATTAAACTTCAGATATGTTAAGCATTAAAATTAGTAATACAAAATTTTATATAAAGCTGCAAGTCAGGCCAGGTTGGGTATAGTTTTAAATAAGGCCCAGCCTGATTTATTTTATATGCTTTTTTTTTTAGGTTGGGCTCAGACCTACAAATAATTTTCAGATTGAGTTTTAGGTCTAAGCAGGCTTGGCTCAACCTAGTCCATTCTGCACACTAGTCTTAGGTATAGCAACTAGTATAAAACCTTTAGGCAGACTATTTAAATTAAACAATAACTAAAGTTGTATGAGTGGCTAGTTGTACACTCTTTTCATAATTGCCTCTGTATCTGTTACCCAACAAATGCTAGCCAATATATATTATTAATAAACTTCTAGGTTATATATACTTACCTTAACATTAAAAAAAAACAAAAAAAAACAAAAGTAAGCAATATAGCATATCTTCTACAAAATAAGCAATAACATTATCACAAATAAACATAATAATATAACAAATATTATAAAAAAAAAACAACACAGTAATTATTATGCACAATATACTACCTTATACTGTTATAAAAAAAAACCAAACAACTATACTAAAAAATTAAATACTAAATAAGAAAATAAATAACCAATATAATACAAAACTCACATTTACTGAAATGCAGAGCTTTTATAAAACAATAGCAAATAGCAACTAAGTTACAAAATTAGAACAAAAAAACCAAATAGATATAGAAATAAATCAAACAAACATTTTTTACAATCTTGAAATGCTAAATACAAATAACAAACTTACATATAATCAAATTGTTCAAAAAGATGAAAGTATAAGTAATATGACAAAAATAAAAACTAATTATATAAAAATATGAACACAATAAGTAAATAATAACCTGAAGACCAAAGTTATTATACTATTTAACTGCAAAAAATAGATATGAATAGATATAAAAGTCAAAAAACCAAAGAGGTCATCTTAATACCAAAAAAAAATTATTATCCTTTATATAATCTAAAATATTGTATTAAGAACTATAGACTTAAAATTAATATTTAAAGAGTTCACTAAAAATTTGTAAATACTTTTTTTAATTAATAATTTTTTCTAAATTTGACTATTTTTAGCTTATAACTAATATATAATTTTTTCTTATAATATAAAATTAAATACTGCTATAATATAATTCTTATTTTTAAATATTATCAAATAAAATTTTATTTAAATATTTTAAAATTTAAAAAATATAGATCATAAGCATATTTTTAACAATTTTTCAGACAAATTTACTTGGAAAAGCTTACAAATTAAGGGATAAAAAGAAATAAGAAAAGTAAAAAAATTAAAAATAAAAAAAATTAAAAATTAAAAAAAAGAAAAAGAAGTTAAAAGATAATAATAAAAATGTGATATAGAAAAAACTAAAGTTATTAATATAAAGAATTTGTAAATATATATGAAATTAGGTAAAATATTTTAATGAATAATAAATATTTGAAATATTTTATAAGTATTAAATTTTATAAGTAAAGTAATATTATAAGAAGAGAATATAAAATTGTAAAAAAAAATTTTCATCTATTTATATTTTATCAGCTTTAATCATTTTAAAGCAATTATAATATTCTTAAATAATCATAAATTAATGTGCATATTTTGATTATTATTAAATTAATTCTAATATATTCAATTTTTTTCATATTGTTTTAAACTGTTTTAATATAATCAAAATTTGATTTTTATTTATTTTAATTTTACATACTTTAATTATTTTGAAATATTTTTAATATTCTTTGTTAATCTTTAATATTTTAATTACTGTTTCATAATATTTAAATATAATTCTAATGTATTCAAATATTTTTACTTTTTTTTTTTTTTATTTTTTTATTTATATAATATCAGGTAGGAAAAATAGTAATACATGGGTATATCAATTGGATATAAATGTATAAATAA